TCTATTTTTTGTAGATCAATTAAACGAAATAAAAAAAATGTTTGGTTTTGTAGATACCTTAAAAGTTATTTCAATAATTAAGCCAAAAACTATAAATTGTGTTTCAGTTTTGAAGTGTGGCAACACTGAAATGTAAGGGTATTCGGTATCGTTTTGATGGTACTACGAAATTACCTAACCTGCTTGCATAAAAATACCAGCCGTTGAAGCGAGCGTACGTCATACTTCGATGCCATAAACAAAACAACTGAGAACTCACTGACAGCATCAACAAACAACACGCTATGGTTCTATAAATTTTAATATGATGTTATAAAAATAATAATAACACGACCGTGTGGTCGTGTTATTATTATTTTAAAACAGACTAAATAATTACGGCGACGCGCACAGCGATAAGAATATTACGAAACGCTGTTGCGCACGTTAGCATGCCGCGGAGCGTACGATGAAAATAAGAAAAACACTTCATACAATTTACCCTTACCTGTTTATGCGTTCCAAAATGAATAAACCTATTCACAAATCAGTCTCACGTATCACTGTGCGTCCAAATTGTTAAAACACAACATCATTATATTCTAAAAACACCTTTTCTTCGCAAGCCATGCACTAGTTGACGTATCACAACAAAATGGCGAAAAGCGGCCTTGTTCACTGCAAGAGATCGACGTGTTCATGTCGGGCTGCGTGAGTGCGAGGTGCGAGGGGAAAAAAGATGTCGTCCTTTTCGTGCTCACAACGCTTGAGAACACCGCTGTAGTTGAAGGTGCGAGAGAGAGAGACAAAACACTAGGCACGCGTAAAATTCATTTTACTCGCAGACATGAAACGGAATGGACGTAGACGTCGAATGTAAATTCTTATAATTGATGTAAAATGTTGTATTTGTATCATTTATCTAGTTAAAATCACCTGTTTTCATCAAAAACTGATTTTATTATCAAAAAATTACTATAATTATACACGCCCTTAGTTCTACATCACTGACTGAACAAAAACAATATGTTATGTTATTAAATATAAAATGGCTTAGGTAATTTACTTGTATATGTGTACAAACTGTTTAATTTACGGAGTTATTCTATAATACTAGGTATATAGAGTATTCTATAATATTTTATGAAGTGTTTCTCATTATTAATCTACTACAAAACGAACACTGTTCAGGTTGAATATTCGTTAGGTGCTTTTTCTACACCATGTGCCCATAGTTGATATCTCCTACTAAGATTCATCGAAATTAATAACTCTATACAAATATATAAATGAATACCTAAGTTATTTATAACAATTTACTTATAAAATTTTATTTATTTTCAAATAGAGTTAAATGACTGGTACTTTTCACATTTGGTTTAGATATTTTTTTTTTGTAAATAAATGATTTAGGTAGGTATTTCTTTTGAACATTTGTAATTGTTAACTTGTAAGTATTTTTTTATTAACAAGCTTTCATTATATTTGTTAACTAAGCATTTATAATATAACGATAAATAGTGCCTATACAGCATCTCACCAGTGTTCTAGAAATAGTAAATTTTTTGCATCAATCTTTGAAGTAACTAACTATCTGCAGATAAAAGTGATTATTATAAGGTATTTGTAAAACAAATTATTCAACAAAATAAGTTCGGTTTCAATAAAACAACTAGAATGATTTAAAATCAACTGCAAAACTTTGACATTATCGTCTCATGATTAATATTTTTATAATAAAAAAATAAAATGTAGGTACAGACTTAATGAATTAGTGTGAGTAAACGTAAGTGAATACCTTAGTAGGAGCAATCTGATAACGTAGTCGCAGCTGCCGTGAACGTCGACAACGAACGAGTGACGCAGCTGGAAACCGGGCCGTACAATGACCTATCGCTCTCTACAGATGACGTCACACTCACGTAGTTTCATTTTCATTGCACCGTGGTGAGGCTTGAGTGTATCAACTGTCATAATATACTGAGCAATGTAAAGTAAAGTTCACCCAATTTATACTTTTCTTGTTTGTGTTGAATAATAAAGATTTAGTTGACTGTACTCAATACCTATCTGTGGTATTGCTACAGCTGTATAGTTATACACCCTGGAGGGACTACGTTGTGTGAAAAGAAAATAATAGGCAGTTATTTAAAAAAAAATATATCATTACTAATACTTAGACTTAAATGCTCTAACAGAATTTCCTTTTCTAAACTCGGTTAAATACCAAAACCACCTGAAAGTAACAAATATTTTTCTGAAAACTATATCACAATTGGTTCCAGCGAACGCGAGATAATCGCAGATAATCATACGTTCATACATATAAGGCAAACTGGAAACCACTTTTATATGAAGTCGGTTAGAAATTTCACCAATTGTAAACAATTAAGTAAGTAGGTATGCCATCTTTACCAAAACGTGGGTTAAAAGAAATTAATACAATTTCTGGTCTATACTTATTATATCGTGCACGGCGACTAACCCTAAACCCTCCAAAAATTATAAAATGACGCCACAACGCTCAAAAACGATATATTGGGCCGTTTCGGACCAGTGCACGTGTGCCGTGCCGTCGGGGTCGGCTTTAGACACGTGTTTTGTGCCGTGTGCGTGTGCAACTGACATTCAACCCAGAGTGGGTCCTATCTTATTCCTGTTTCAAATATTAACTTGTCAATACCACTTTAAAAACAATATCGGCAATTTAGTTTATTGCAAAGGGATCTATGAATCTCTGAAGTAATATTTCTTCATTTAACTAAACTAATAATATTATTAAATAATTTAACCCAATCACAAAAAGAGGATGAGAGATTCGTAATCAAAGCTGGAAATTCTAATATCGTATAGACAATGTTAATTTTTGGGGATCCAATTCTAAAGCATGTTATAACAATTTATAAGAGTAAAATCTCGTGTCTGCTTCATAAGTTTAGTAATTTAAGGTCAAAAGTCTAATGTTCGACGCGATATCTTGATTTTTATTGCTCTAATCTAAAATGATGCAAAGAACTATTTTTTTAAATATTTTTTTATTTCTTAATATCTTTATGCGCTCAATCGAAAGCTTTGTGAAAGAAATGAAATGTAGAGGCAAATGTCCCAGTAAAAGGCAAAAACATTTAGATGAAATGCACAGGGGTAGAGTAAGAAATGAAACTACAAGGACAAATAAGTATTAAACTTTATGAATGTTAAAATAAAACAATTTAATTTCGTAAATGTATTTTTATGCAATTACATAATTTTAAAATAATTTACGACAGATCAACAATAAATAGTTCACGTAAGTTTTCTTGTCAGTATTAGAGCACGTATTTGTCTATTCTTCACCCGCGGCTGTGTTTGCCGCTTTATTTAGGCTTAGACAGCACTGCGATTAAACGCATGTCTTTGAAATATCTTACATATGACTCGTTCGGGTTAACATGACACCTGGCTCGGAACTTGACAATCTCCGCGCTTCCTTGGCAACATCCCGTCGTCGCCTTTCGGTAGCGACAGTATAAAAGTATAAAAGACGCGTATAACATTTTATACGCGTCTTTGCGCTGTTAAATTTTCGACAGAATTATGTTTTGTCAGAATTTATTAATACAAATTTTCTTGCTGCTATTGTATTGAATTTTTGTTATTTATTTAGTTATTTACGTTATTTTCTGAATAATCATTGTCATAATTCACTAATTGTATTTAATTAGCAGACGCGCTTACCGCGCAACCGCGACACGCGCAAGCACGCTATCGTCCGCAACTTTTTTGCACGCAATACTTTCCAGAAACTTCTTTCTAGCCAGTTGTTATGTTAACTCGAATGAGTAGTAGTAGTAGTAGTCTTGGAGACAAACGCGCGCAACGGCTTGTTACTCAAGCCGCAACGTATGAATAAAATAGAAAACACCATCATACATACATACCATAGACATGAAAAGACCGCTAGAATATCACAATATTAGTCAACATTTATATGTAACAGTTTGTCTTTAAATTAAGTAACAATTTTGAGTTAACTCGGTAATGTAGTCCCATACAATCCCATCGCACTATGCTCCCAGTGCGATATCAGCCTTAGAGTGATAACTACCTCTCTACGTGGACGCGAGCAGCTCGCGCTGTCATAATATTTAATCTAAACAAGTTATCTAGTATAGTATATAAAGAAGTCTTTGGGAACAATTTGTGTAGAAAAGTGGTTTCTAGATTATAACATTTCACCCGGGTGTTTTTTGTTTATTAGTTTGAATTTGTTAATTTTCTATATTCAGGGGCCTAATTGACTAATTTGAATCTATCGATATCCCTTTTAATTTGACATTTGAAAGATATATACGAACTTGACGCTACAACTATTATGACACGTGAATGAACAATTTCGTAATTTAGACATCATCATTAATTCCAAAAGCGTTTGCGACTTTAAGTAAACATAATTCCATAAATTGCTATCACAATCGATAGTAACTAAAGGTATATTATCTCTGAACCCTTTCAGAGGTCCCATACTTTTGAAATTAGACAATCAGCTCACAAGAGTTGGGTAAATGTCATCCAGCAATACCCGCGCTCTTAAGGTATACTTAAATTATAATTAACAATTTACTTGAGATCATTATTCAGCAAGTTACATAAGATTTTATATTTTTTGCTTGCATTTAGTAACATCATATAAATCTTATTTAGGTACATAAAGATATTACAGAATATAAAAATATATCAGATATACAAACATAGACTGAACAAATAAATCCACATTTAAGTATATCACTTTGTCAGATCTGTACCTATATAGACCTTAAAATTAAGATCCAGATTTGCTGCAACTGATTAGTAGATTAGACATACATAAACTATGTGCTGTACTAACTTTTTTAATGAAGAATCGACAATAAACCACCGCCGTCTTAGCACCATCCGTATACTATATAAGAACGAAAACTAGAAAGTATTTTTTTAAACATGTTTTATTTATCAAACAGTATTAACTTAAAAAAAAAGTGAAATATCGATGGATTAAAATATTACACTCCTAATATGCAATCATCAGCATCATCACCTTTATTAAGTGTATTAGGTAAAATGATGATACGTGGTGAACTCTCGGGGACATTGACACTCACATATTGGCTAAGAGGAGTATTATGAGGAATAGAATTGTTTTGGATCATCGGCAATCCAACTAAACTTGAATCTACATTCTCAGGGGCTACGAAACACTGGAATGGTGCATTTATCGTAGAGTTGGCTGCAGCTTGAACTAGAATTGGCTGCGGTAAGTATTGGCTATTTAATTGATTGACCGTACTAGTGTCATTGTTTACGATTTTTTGAATTGTAACTGGTGATTTATTTTTTTTCTGTGTGTTTTTTAAAGTCAAAGAAGAGGATGAATCTGTTTTTGTTTTCTTCGATTTTAAGATATTTTCTAATATGGAAGTTTTCTCTAATGAACGTTTTCTGGGACGTTTTATTTTAGATATATCTGTCTGTGTAGATGATGTGATATAAGAGACTTTATCGGATTTCGTTTTTTTCGTTTGGCCTTCATTTAACGAATAAACGTTTTTAATTTTCGGAGCGAATGATCCTTTGCTATGCTTTTTATATGCTTCGAGAGAACGTTGGTATTGTTCATTTTTTAAATGCGTTAGACTTGTGTAAGCTTCATAAATATCTGAACTGGCATGGATTACTTTATCTATTTTTTCCGTTTCTTCACCCAAGGAACTATTTTTCTTAAGCCTTTTCCTATTACATGAAACATTGAAATTTTTTCGACACGACGTTAACAAAGGCTTTGGATTTAATGGAATTTCGTTTGTACGTGGACACGGAATAAATTCATTTTCTATGTTAGTACCATATTTTTGTGAACGTATTAAGTTTATATTAATATTCTGACTGTCATTAAGTGGATCCGCTAAATTACTACTTGAATTGTCTATGATACCCAACATTTTGACTTGTTCCTGCACTCGTCCTATTATGTCAGATAGAATTGTGAGTTCGTCACTTGACAATGCAGTAGCTGGGGTATCCAACAGTGCCACGATCTTTCCTTCAGCATTAAGTGACAAACGAATATTTTTAAATCTTTCCAATATAGATGCAATCAATACTTGTACCGTAGGCTCCTCTTGCTGTAATAGTTCGGATGACTGGAAAATGCTTGTTATTGACGGAGGAGTAATTAATACGTTTGTAGGTGATTGCAGATTATCACTCTTCTGCTGCTGCGCTATTTTTGCTAAGCTATTTGAATCATTTGCTTCTTGATGTACCCGCGGCTGATTATGTATATGTTTTCTATTTAGATTTTTTAAATTCAAATGTTTACACTGGTGCCTTACGTTATTGGTGGTACGTAAATCAACATTTTTGAAGACTTCTTTTAGCCTGGTTGTGTTATTTTTGGTGTGGCTGAATGTTTTAGGATATTCTATTTGTTCTAACTGTACTTTCGGATAGTAAATCGTCTTGTCATGACAACATTTTTTGTTTTGTGAATATAAATAATTGTGTGGTGTTTTCTGTAGAAAGTTGATCATTTGGCGTGGTAATTCTGACCATATTTTTAGACGTTGTAACGAGCAACAAGCTCTATCTTTCACACTGTTTAGACCGGATTCTCCTATTTTTGACATGTAGGTGTAGTGACTTTTATCGGATTTATCTACTTCTACGTAAAATTGCATTGAAGCATCCGCTCCTAAAATATAGAGTTGATCCATATCTTTAAGCGATTGAAATTGGACGACAGAATGCGGTGCTAATGACGGTAACTGCGATGAAGCGACTTGCTCAAATGTTTTAGGTTTTGGTTTCCTTCGATATTGCAAAGCCTTATTTATCAAACTGTTTTTATTATGTGATTCAGTATTAGATATAAACTGTTGATAATTAGACCATGTTTTTTCACTAGGCATTTTTAAATTTGAATGCATTGATTTTGGCTTTGTATTAACCGACGTGTTATTCGCTCTAGACGATGCCTCTTTTTTGCAGCAACACGAACAAATATTAGGTGGACAAGCATGGGGTTTAATATGCACTAAGAAGTTCCGATGTGTTCCATCAGCAACGGTCATACTTCCTGGCCATACTTTCTGAATATTTTTTAAGCTTCTGTACCAACAGCAGTTGAAGAATTCATTATTTTCATGATTTTTGTTAATGCTACTTACTTTTTCGGCACATGAATTATCAAAATCAGATGATTCTGGTTGATCATGATTTTCAATCAAGACAGCACGTTTCTTTCTTTTAACTTCTAATTTGTCACTCACATTGTAATATTTGACACATTTTTCACAATTTAGAATATTATTAAGCAATTGAATTGTTCTGTGTCTAGTACAAAATTTATATCTTAAAAGAGGTTTACAATCTACTAAGGTAACAGAAAATGGCTTACACATCTGCATAAGCAATTCGGTTTTATTATTATTTACCAAGTCTCTTGCTACAGTTTTTACATAAGGCATGTTTACTGTTGTTTTCTTTGAATTAGCTAACTTGACCTGGGAAGTGGTAATGTTAAAATACCCCGACCTATTTTTTTTACTTTTTTCTTTTTTTACTGTACATTGTCTAATCAGTCTTGGTCTACTTTCAGTTTCCACTTGGTTTATAATATCACCTACAAAGGAACCTTTAAAACCATATTTTATAATGTGCATATCTTCTAAACGAGTCGTATAAACAAAAGGGTGTTTCAATAAATTCATTACTAAACTAACAGGTGGTTTTACTTCATCTTCTGGGACGGAGACATCTTCTAAAAGTCGATCTTGTTCAGCGCCTACATGATCAACTTCTTCTTTTATTTTTAAAATATCTGACATTTGTATTTCTTCTTCTATTATTGCTGCATCTGTAATAGTAATAGTTTGGAATTGAAATTGTCTTATCTATTAACATATACACACATCAACACCGTTTAGGGATATTTTAATTATTCTTAATTTTGTCAGTTTATTCTTCTGAATAACATACAACATGTTTATATTTTTATAAAGCCCATTTATTGGCGTAGATTATAGAATAAAATATAAATATTTTTTGCACCTAAAAATAAGTTATTCAAGTATGGACGAAAAGCAAAATAATGGTAAAAATAACGATAAATGTGTTTTCAAGAAACAGTGATAAATATAGCGAAATTATTTCGTTATTTGCAATGTTACGAAAATCAATAGTCACTTAAACCACCCATGACGTTAACAACGGTCCTACAACGTTTTTTCACGCTTCGAATCAACTTATCAAAGTCTTGCTGCGGGATATTGTCCCAGGTCCTGGAAAGATGCAAAAAAGTTGCTCTTCAGTAACAATGTTTGTAGGTAAATTCCTCAAAGCCCTTCTTTGGAGCATTTGCCACGCGTGTTCTATGGGATTTAGGTCTGGCGATTGCGCGGGACAGTCTAAGACCAATACATCGTGCTCCTGCAGCCAGCTGGTGACCACTCGCTTTGTGTGGGGACGTGTATTGTTGTGCATGAGCGTGAATTCTTGATCCATTTGTAGTCGATGTGGGTAGACTATTGGTACTTGGTTGAGGTGTTTTTCAGTGGTCATGGTGTTTCCAATCTAAACAAGGTTTGTTCTTCCACCAACACGAATTCCCGCCCAAACCATAACCCGTCATGGTATGGATGGACTTCCTGATGGTGTTGCAGGCGGCTGTCATGACCAGGAGTTCGCCATACGCGTTCTCGTCGCGAATCAGGATGGAAACCGAATCGGGACTCATCGGTAAACAGCACTACAAACCACTGGCTACCTTCCCAGAGCAAATGTTCACGAGCCCACTGTAATCTTATTCCACGACTTCCTCGGCGTAGTGCAGAAGTACGAAGCGGTCTGCAGCATGAAGATTAGCTTCATACAGTCTGGTCACTCACAAACAACTGGTGCTCTGACTGAAGCCTTTGAACCAACTTGCACGGCCGTAACATCAGTAACATTTGGTTGCCTTCTCGCAGCAATTTTCAAAAATCGGTCTTGTCATTGGGTGGTTATACGCTTCCCACCTCGGTGTATTTCAGCCACTTTACCAGTAGTACGATAACGTGACCATAACCGTAATATCACGTTGTGTTTTGATCCGATGTCCTCAGCAGCTAGGAGCATGCCTACTGCCCTTAACATTTCTTTTCTTTTAAAATGGCGTCGCTGTATAATGCATAAAGAAGCACAAATTCAAATTAAACAGCTAACTTGTTTTAAAACTTTCGATTAATACAAAAAATCTTCAAAAACTATGGAAGGGAGAATGAAAACTTCGATTTTCAAATTTGGGATCATCAAAAAAGGCATACAAAATAAGTTTTCATCAAAAGATTGTAAAACCAGCCAGGTTTTTTAAATTTAGAACCATATACAAAATATCCCTAGACAAGGTTTTTTTTTAAAAAAAATTATGCTTGATAGGCAAGTACTTGACCACTGATCACCTGATGGTAAGCAATGCAGTGGTCTAAGATGGAGCGTGCTTGTCTAGAAGGAACCGACACTCTTGACTTGAAGAGTCCCAGATTGTATTTGTCCGGAAACAGCGAATCCGGTAGCGAATTCCTCAGCTTCGCAGTTCGCACGATGAATGTGAAGAGCCGAATCGGTTGGTGCGAGTTTGTGGAATCTCCACAGTAAAGCGGTAACGCTTCCCAGTACCCCTGGTTGTATGACAGTAGAAAGTACGACATGTAATTCCGATGCAAAAAATGTTGATGTATGTAAATATTTAAAAAATATATTATTAAAGTATTATTCACGAGTTCGTACGATATTGCTTGTTATTACATTATTATTCCGAAACTAGAGATTTTTTTGTTTATTTGTTTAATAGGACGAGTATAATAATTTATCTATTTAACATTTCATGGATATAGTATATTAGCGGACTTGATGCCGTAGGCATTTTCTACAAGTTAACCGGATGGGTGATTTGGAGATATAGATAAGGTAAATAAAACCTATAAAAATACATTTTTATACATAAATAATACATATAATATACACATATACGTTCATGACTACATATAACGTAATATATAATATAGAAGACTAACGGTGTAGTTAATTTTCCAATTCGAACAGAAAGCTACGCAACTTGTTTTTAATGTAAATATACTAGCAGATTTTCTGATGCCCAACGTAAGTTCATTCCACAACAGATTTAACAAAAAAAAAAAGAAGAATGGGTGGTGTCTGAGTGGTGAGATGAACTTATGAGCCGGCGATTTGAGGAGAAACGAAGGTTTATGGTATGAGTGGTACATAAGTACTGAAAATGGGACGTGAGATAAAACGGAGCATTTGAAGAGTTTATTTAGTAAAGAGAACAAAGCAGTAGGAGCTCGCATATTTCTACGCTGCCGAATGATTATCCATTTTAAATGAGATCGGTATGCAGATACATGATCACTCATATTTACTAAGATTAAAATCGAATCGAATGCAGTTATTCAGAACTCGGTCAAGTTTATTTAGTAGATCTGCATTCAGGTCAAGGTAGCACATATCACCATAAACAATTGTAGGAAATATTAATGTCTGCACAAGCATATCTTTAATATTGACTGGCAGAAAGTTTTTAAGACAGTAAAGCGCTCGCAATATTCCAGTTATTTTCTGACAAACACTGCTTACTCGTGCTTGCCAGTTTAAGCTTGAGTGGAGATATAATCCTAGATCTTTTACTGCAGGAAATGGATCCCTCACCATACATAATGGAGCCATATTTACTGAAGTTAATCTTCTTCATGATTCGTTGCCCCCGATAATATAACTTGGTATTTTGAAGGACACATATTTTAAATTAACAGAGATATCAAATTATTGGACCAGATTTTTATAGCTACTAAGTCACTGTTAAGGTTATCAAAAGCATTATCTAATTCATCGGTACTTGCCTCGGTATATAACTATAAGTCAGCATATCGATGATACGAAATACGAACACTAAAGTTTCTGAGTGATGGAATCAATAAAAATTGAAAAAAGTTGAGGTTACAGAATGCCGCCTTGGGGAACATCAGTTTCCAGATTGCACTAAGACGAGGAAGACTCAACAGACTGGACTATCTGTTGTCACTCAAGAAGATGATAAGATAAGATGAGAACGTATCTCAGTTATTATTGAAACTTACTTTACTTATGCTACGAAACGTTTTTATCAATTCAATATTGAGGGGGTTCCGCTTTTTGAAGTGATTTCAGACACCTGAGGAATTCGAATTCGGTTTAAATTTTTACAGAATCGCAGGTCAAGTCGGAATCCTGATTGTAGTGGATTATTCTGTCCCGATATATCGGAACGTATAGCAACCCTAAACCAAGATAACAATTTATTATACTTATGTTCAGTATCCTTACCTATTCAGTATCCTATAATTTTCGTTAGATTGTTTCCAAAACCCAATATTACTTACCTAGCTCATTGGTATTGTCGTCACATAGAGTAAGTGCTGCGTTAATATCTTTTTCACTAATCTGAATTCTATGTCTAGAGAAAAATAGCATTTTGGTTTTGATTGTATCGCCATAACATTCCTCGTAGACTTCCTTGATTTTGCTGTAATCTGCTTTCGAATTCATGGCGCCGCTCGTCTTGTGCCTGCAGGAAAGCATATTTAAATAAATCGCAATGAATACATACACCCGCTAATTATACATCTAATCACTGTAACTAGTTACAAGTCATAGCCACAACCAGCCCACTGATTTAAGCCTCAGATATAAGCAAAACGTAATCATCATAACGATTACTTTAGAAATATTCACACATTACCAAAGAATAATGTGTAATCTTATGTCGTGACTTCATAGTCTATTGAAGCAGTGGCGTAGAGAAGTTGGGGGGAACGGGCGCTCCAGGCGGCACTTTTTAGGCGGCGGCAAAATTTTATAGTAAACAATAAAATATATTTGTTAAATATTTGAACCAATTCATATTTTAACGCAACTATAAATTCGGACTGAATGAAAAGATCACGGAATTTTCATTACTTTGTCTGTGACGAATTCGGAGAGTACTCTTTCTTTAAATGATATTTTGTAGCAAATGACAACACCATCTATACTGACTTACGGGGATATCCCGTATTTTATTTTGTGCTTGTATTGTTTATGACTGCATTATTGCATAAGCAGCAAGAATGACTTCTATTAAATAAATGGTTCATTATTAATATTAATGTATTACGTCGCTTTAAGAAAGTACGTGATGCTTTGACAATTCAAAGAAAATTTTATTAATGGATCTTCAGTTATTTAGTTCATATATTTTTTTATTTCCTTTATGAAGTCTGGAACATTTTACTCATGCCAAATTTGGGTAGTACGCGCCTTATGACCCGGGGCTGAATTCTGTTGGAATGTCCACACTTCGTTTTTAAATAAGTGTTGTTGAGAGGTTTAGCTACCGCTTCTAACACGGTATCTTGATACTCTTTGGCTGAAGTTTTCACTCCTTTTTTACAAAAATAGTTTTGTAATTCTTCGTAGGCGATACCCCACCAAAGCATGGTGTATGCTGGATGATGGCCTCGTTGAACTTTGGCCACTACCTCGGAAGCTTCTTTAGGGCTGTGTGCATACACTCGATCATTTTGTTTGTTGTAGTGCTCCTCGATTGTAAATTATTTTCAGCGGTAAAGAGAATTTTCTGTGTTTTTCGTCCGCTTATCTGTTTTGATCTTTCGACTCTCTTTTGTTTTGGTGATTTAAGGTATGTCCTGTGTATCTCCGGTAAGCCCCTAGTCCTTTGTCTTTTTTGATAATCCGAGAAAGTGTCCTCACTGGGATTCTCATTTCTCTGGCAAGGATTTTCTACTTCCTTATAGGATTTCGGCAAATTCTGGCCTTGACTGCATTTACGGCCTGCTATGTTTGAATAGACCGCGGTCGGCTGGATCTCTCACGGTCATCAACAGACATGATTTCAGTATACCTTTGGATGGTACGATAAGCAAACATTCGGCTATTTAATGTATTCAATGTATCAAAACTTTCCGGCGGGCTCTTTACCTACTTCGTACAGTGCAATTACTGCAATCCTATTCTCTTTAGTGCCCCACTCCCATTTTCAAAACAAATAATTTCTAAAC